AACAGTCTCTAGCAGAAGCTAGAAGCCCCGCCCCCCCCCCACCTCACCCTGTCCCTGCAAGCCTTTAAACTTTTTTCTGGCTAGTCCCAATGACGGCTCCCATGGACTCACCAGGTCTAGCATTCTACCAGCTGAGCCAAGGCCAACACGTAATTCTAAAGCCTCGCTTGACCCTCACCTGTCCAGGGAGCTGACCAAGCAGCCTGTCACAGAAAGGATCTCCTGGGGAACCACGAAGATGCAATCCCCCTCTGTAGCTCTCCTGGCTCCTGAGGCTGGATGGTCAGCAGCAGAACTCAAGCCCTGCAGACTCACCAGCGTCTTCCCTGTGGTCTGTTGTGGTAACTGGGCTGGAGGGCCAGGAAGGGGCCTGGAGGACTGCTTCCTGCCCTGCGAGCCCCGGGAGCTGCTCTGAACTGCAGCACAGGCAGGCAACCCAAGCCACCTGGGTGGGATAGAGAAGAGGAGGAGAAAGGAAACACAAATAAACCAGAGCCAGACCCGTCCGTCCGTGTGAGAGCAGCTAGGAGCCGCGCCGTTCTCAAGAGAGTCTCCCTGGTGACAAGAAGCGAGGCATTACAAATGGAGTTCAGAAACAACAGTCCCGAGAGGAGCCAGAGCGAGATGCCTTCCTCGCCAAGGAAGACCGATGGCAGTGTTCTGGTCAGGTTGACGGGTCTGGAGAGAGGGTCTGGCAGGGGTGTGGGAGAAGGGCTTTGGGAGCAGCCTCCATGCAGGCAAGAGGCCGCGAAGACAACTTCTGAGGAAGTTGCCTGGGTAATCAGGGGCCAGGTTGGGGTGACACAGAAAGAAGGGCTGACAGCTAAAAGAAAATACACGATGGAAAAAGATGGCCTAGAGACAAGCGGCCCTCAGGCGGACTGGGCCTGTATCCTTTGTTTCTCTAGATTCACATTAGGGCAGCCCACCGAGTCCACCACTCAGGCACTGAGAGTCTCCCTTCTCCTTTCTTGCTCCCTCTGGAGGCAAGTTTTACATTAAGAGGGAAACGAATAGCTTTGGGGAATCCATTTCTCCCAGAGTCTTCGGCTTTGCCCTTGGTAACTTGTTTCTGTCTTTCCTGAGGCATGCTACTTTATGAAGGGCAAACCTAAAGGAAAACGAGCCCTCACCATGGCATACCAGCCAGGAGGTCACAGAGTGAAGGGTCTTTATGAAGTCCCTTAATAGAACAGAGCATGCAGGAGGCCCAGAGGGCTCCTTCACTAGCATGCTGGTTTTCTTCCCACTTTGAGGCACTCTCTAAAGAGGAAAGGGGACTAACTAGGCTCTTAGAGGAATGTGATGGATGGGTGGACTTCTCGGCCGATTTCAGTCTCCTGACTAGATGCTCTGCCTATGTGATGGGAAGCACCAGCCTTGTCCTGTTTGGCCACAGGACCAAGAGGAGCTGAGTCAGGATGGGTATTTCTGCTTCTCTCGTGTGTTAAGTCAGACTTTGAACTCAAAGACAAAGGTGGAGCCCGGCTCACCTGCTGTTTAAGAACTCTTAGTTCCCTGACCTTAGATCCTCTTCCAGGACATGCAGAGCTGGTATCATCCTCGCTAGTCATTTTCCATGATCTGACAGCTGGAGATGCCTCTAAGCACACAATTTCTCCCATCTATCCTCAGGACCACAATCCCAAACACTGTGTGTACCAGGCTCCTGGATGCTCCGTCATTCCTACATCATCCCATAATCATAATTTCCTGTTCCATGGGCATTTCACACTTCTGATTTCAAAGGACTCGAAGTCACAAAAAAACATAAAATAATGCTACTGATTATTTGAAGATAATTGTAGAAAAGCGCATCCTAAGCTAATCTTTCAGCTCTACTAAGAATTTTATCTATTCCCGAGTTTCCTAATATTTGGTAGAAAAGAGAAAAGGAGGGGGTCACATAATTCTCCTGCTACAAAAAGGGTGAGAGGAATGGGAAAACGGGCAGTCCAGTGTGAACTCCTAAAGGCCTCTCTACAGGACAAGAGTGAGCTGAAAACCACTGGACTTTTAGAGAGAAGTATTTACCAGGTGGTCTCTTTTAATATCAGCATCTGTTTTAAGAAAGCATCGAAATACAAAAGCACGGCCATTTCAAAGGCCATTGCTTCAGTATTGGGGCAGAGGTCTGGAAGCTAATACAAACCTCATGGTTCTCAAAAGAAAACTGTACGGCTATCACTATCCATCCTGGGGGTGGGAAGAGAGGAGAAGGTGGTGATCAAAGACGTCAGAGGGCATTGAATGTGTGGTGGGATGGACCGTCTTAATGAACTGAGGACAAAGGGAAGGGGATCCAATTACCTACATTAAACAGAACATTCATTAGAAAGAATACTTTGCTATGATGCTAAAGCATCCTGCAAAGCAGCACTGGAAAAGGAATGGGTAATTAGCGGACCTCTCCTAACACCGCTCTTAAGTACCAATTAAACCTTCACTGGGAGTTGACGGCAGTGACCACAAGAATGTCTGCTCCGGGGAGCACTGGAGGAACAAGGTGCCAGGTTTCTGCCATGTCCTTCTGCTGGTGGTAAAGTACATATTGTCTGTCTGAGGAGGAAGGATCCTGTCAGGCATCACTGGGCAGAAAGCTGAACAACAGTGAGCTACAGACATGCCCAAGGAAAGAAAACACGCCTATCCCCACTTTGATTTCGATATACATCGAGAAGAGGGTGCAGCTGGGACACCAAAGTTCTACTCTAGTGTATTAGCGAAGAAGCTATTTGGCCTCGACGGTCCTCAGACTGTGGTCAGTTCCCAGTTAGCATCGTCTGGGTAGGAACTTGTTAGCCTTGAAAATTCCTGGGTCCACTTCAGAGCCGCTTAACTGAAACCTTTACGGTAGACCTGGGCATCAGCAAGTTCTCCTACGACTCTGGTGTGCTGAATCTGATAACCACCTATCCAGAAAGTCTGGGGCTAACTATGGGAGCACGCCACAGGAGATATTTTACAATTACTGCTTTGTCTCTCTACAAAGTCCCTGTTATACTCTGAAAAGGAGAAAGGTGTCAGCACATGCCCATGGCAGACAAATGACCTAAGGCACCTGGAAAGGGTTTTGATGGCCCAAGAGTTAAGAAATAAAGGAGAGGGGTACATTGTAAGGAGCTAATTCAGGTCTCGACTTGATTCACCAGAGAAGAATCTTCTGTCTTAGGGTAATGGATACACTGCTCTCTAAACAGTCAGTGCACTGACAGGCTCACAACTCGAGACACAGAAGAACCACATCTGCTCCAGATGGCTAACACCAGAGCGCCTCCCAGAGCCAGCAGTATCAGCCATACAGTGGAGATGGTGCAAGATTATAGGTGTTAGAAAATGGCTCTATCAAGTAGTAAGGTGTTCTTAGTTTGTGTCTTTAACACTCATTGGGTTTTAATTATGACAGATAAAATATGATTTATAGTTATTGGACTTAACAGATAAAATCCTTCCAAGTCATGTCACTGCTTTGAGTTTTCTCTGGTATTTGAGCTCCTTTCTGCTTTTATCCTGGGGTACCTGAGTCACTGGACACTGGCACTATCCAGTAATGCTATTTCGTTGTTAATGACCAGATCAAAGATTTCCATATTACTGTCCATTGCAGCAACATTTCCTTCAAAACTATTTCTGTTCCTAGTTCTTTAGCACCATCGGGAAGATGTCTCTCCCTCTGATTTCTACGAAGTTTTTTACTTTTACTTATTTTTTTTTTTTTTTGGCCAATGTAGCCTCCAAATGTAAGGCTAAAAGTAAACAAATAAATATACAAACAACCTTACGGGAAGAAATTCACATGCCATGGAATCTATACTAAACAGTAGGATTTTCCTGCTATCATCACAGGGCTGTGCAACCACCACCTTGGTAAATTCCAGAGCACCCTCATCCCCGAGAGAGAAAGTCTGTGCTCACTGTTGCTCCCCACCTCCCCAAGTCTCCCAGCTCAGGCAGCCAGCAGTCCACTCACTGTTTCCAGCAGATCAACCAGCACACGCAACACAGCCGAGGAATCAAACTCAATGACTTCAGAGATAAGTCCACACCCAATGTCTCCACTCTCCACTGAAGAGCAGAGAAACAAAGGAATGAGGGGGAAAAATGAACATTTGCGGACAACAGCACAGTACCAGATGTTCTAAAGCAAACCATATATTCTAAATAAGTATAAGTAATAAAAATGGTGGTGACAAAGTGAAACAAAAAATCCTCTCAAATAATATTACATCAGGTAGAAAGAGAAGATAAAAGCAAAGAAAGATTAAACAAATAAAGATGGATGACATTTTATCCCAATCATATTAGTAATTATATCACATAAATAGTCTAACACTAATTTAAATGGGATTTGAAAAAAGAAAGACCCAATTATATACTATCTACAATAAAAGCTTCTTTGAGGGTATAAATGCAAGCACTAATTAAATAAGACACAAAAAGCTACACTGACACCAAAGGAGCTCAGAAGAAAGAACACTGCCAGGAATAAAGACAATCACTTCACAATATGTCAGTTCACTGAAGAAAGAATAACCCTCAAAAACATGAAAACACTGAACATAGATTTCCAAAATACTTTATTCAAAAACCCTTAAAACTAAAAGGAGAGCTAGAAAAATCCACTGCTATAATTGAAGGCCCCAGTACTCCTCCTCAGTAGTGATGAACCAAGTATACAGGGAACAGGAAAACATCAGATGATCTGCACACTGTTTCAACCCAATGACTAGATCCCTGGTTCACAAACACCAAATACACATTCTTCTCATGTTCACATGTAACATTCATCAATTAATCCAGATTCTGGGCCACTGAACAAACTGAATCAAAGAGAGAGAGGGAGAGAGAGAGAGAGAGAGAGAGAGAGAGAGAGAGAGAGAGAGAGAGAGAGAGAGAGAGAGAGAGAGAGAGATATCCAACATACTAATGTCCTCTGAAAAAAAGATGAAATTAAGTCAGCAGGGTCAACAAAATTGTACATGAAAAGTTCCTAGGGCCGCCCCTGCGCCGCACGCCCGATGGATGGGTGATCTACTGCGGCGGCGGCAGGGTGAGGGACGGCCACATTTTTCGGCGCGGCCCGAGCCGGCGACAACAAAAAGTGCGCGGGCGCCCGCTGGGCGCTCGGACGGGCGCGGGGACGCGGGGACGCCCGGCCCGGGCCTCGGCCTCGGCCTCGCCGCCGCGCTCGCGGCCTGGCCCGGCTCTGCCCGGAGCGCCCGCCGCCCGCGGGGATGTCGTACAAGCCGAACTTGACCGCGCACATGCCCGCCGCCGCCCTCAATGCCGGAAGTGTCCACTCGCCTTCTACTAGTATGGCGACATCCTCCCAGTATCGCCAGCTGCTGAGTGACTATGGGCCACCATCACTAGGCTACACCCAGGGAACTGGAAATAGCCAGGTGCCTCAGAGTAAATACGGAGAGCTGCTGGCCATCATTGAAGAGTTGGGGAAAGAGATCAGACCCACGTATGCAGGGAGCAAGAGCGCCATGGAGAGACTAAAACGAGGCATCATTCATGCCCGAAGCCTGGTTCGGGAGTGCTTGGCCGAAACGGAACGTAATGCCAGGTCCTAGCCCCTGGCCAGTCTGAAGGCCCATCTCGCTACCCTGTGGAGATGAGAGGCTTTGTTCAAAATGGCAGTGGTTTTCCTGCCGTGGTCATTAAGCTCTGAACCCACATCCAGAAGACTGGGAAGACATTTTGCAGTTACTGACGGTGTGCATTCTAAGTAGTTAGAAATCATCCAGCTCTTTTTTTCTTCCCAAGCATTGATTTGAAAGATGTTTGTGAAGCCACTTCACAGCAAGCTATTGTTTGCCCCCAAATCCCAGTGTCCCCTTTAAAATCTCCCTTTGGATACACTTGCCATTCGCCTCACCCCAGTTGACTTCCTTTCCATGAGCTCACCTGCCTCTGAGGACTTGAGTGCAGACCACAGCACATCTGCTTAGTAGCTGGCCTGCCTGTGGACAGTGTAGACCCTGTTTCACAGAGCTGCTCTGCTTAAGCCTTTGCATGACTGAGTGCTTTGAAGTCAATCTTAAACATGCACAAGTTATAAATACAGAAGAAAGCAATCTACCCAACCTGCCACGCGCCCTGCGAATGTCCATCCTGAGACTGTGGATCTCAGTTCCGTGTTTACTGTGAGACGGTCACAACATCTGGAAGACAACGACTGCAACTGTTGCATCTTTGTATTTATTACTTGATGTAATAAAGCTTATTTTCATTAACAAAAAAAAAAAGTTCCTAAAATAGAAATCAAACAGTGTTGACTGAGTTTTCTGTAATGCCCAGTTCCCGCAATTGTTAAATCCCAAAGAAATCACACAGAGGTCTACATTAACTATAAACTGATTGGCCCATTAGCTCAGGCTTCTTAATAACTCTTATAACTTATATTAGTCCATTATTCTTGTCTATGTTAGCCACATGGCTTGGTACCTTTTCAGTGAGGCGGTTACATCTTGCTTGCTCTGTGGCCAGGACAGGACTGCAGACAAAGCTTTCCTCTTTCCAGAATTCTGTTCTCATTTCCTGCCTCTACTTCCTGTCTGGTTGTCCCACCTATACTACCTGCCTGGCTACTACCCAATCAGCATTTTATTAAAATACAATTGGCAGACTACAAACCATTGTACCACAGCAAAACAGTATACTTCTGCAGAACCCCTAGTTCAAAAGAAGCCACAAGGGATCTTAGAAACATTTTAGATTGACTGGGCATGGTGGTGCACACCTGTAACCTAGCACTTGAGAAGCTGAAGTAGGATGACTATGAATATGATGCCAGCCTGGGCTATAAGACGAGACTTGTCTACAAAAAAAGAAATTCAAAGTGAAAGAACTTGAAAACACATGATATTAAATGTGAGAATTGCAAGAGCCTAAAAAGAAATCTTGTAATTAGATTTAGTATTAAATACCTGTATCAAATCAGTGTTCTAAGCTTTCACTTTAGGAAACTTGGAAAAAAAGGCAAACTAACCCCAAATCCATCATGAGGAAGGAAATAATAATGGCAGAAATCAATAAAATTGAAAGGAGAAATAAAGAAAGCTAAACAAAAATTTGATTTATGAAGAGATCAATAAAGTTGATGAATGTGTAGCCATGCTGGTCAGGAAAAACAGATAACAGAAACTACAAATCTCAGGAATGAAAGAAGAGACACTAGTACAGATCCTACAGATACAGAAGAAATAGAGTGCTCTTCCCTTATTCACCCCAAGTGGATGTCAGAGAGTAACAAATTCTGTAAACACTTTTTCCCTATATATGCACTTCTATGATAAAGCTTAATTTACTAATTAGGCACAATAAGAGATTAATTGCTTACAAATAATACAACAGAACAAATATAACAATGTTCACATTTTAGGATCATCCTTAACTAAATTATAGGTTGCTTGGATACAAGCACCCCAAAATAACTGTATGTACATGATATGTACAAGATAACTGAAATGGTCCCTAAATGATTAGTAGGCAGATAGGATTGAGCAATGATATTCTGGACAAAAGGACAGAGCTGGATAGGATGAAATTTCATCATGCTACTTAGAAGAGTATACCATTTAACACTGACGTAAGCTGAATCCCTCATTTAAAATTTCTGGACTCACTGTGGACATTCAGCAACTGTAGCCATGAGCAGGGGTGGGGTACCTGCTACATTATGACTGACTCCATGATCACAACTTGGCAACAGATAAGATAGACAAGTTTCTTTAAAAATATCATCTGTCAAACAACATTAAATTCTTTAGTATGAACTAAAGAAATGTCATGAGACAAACATTACTTAATATGAAAATCGGATAAAGAAATAATAAGAAATGGGAGATCATGGCTAATGAGCTGGCTTTATGGGTTATGGGGCTGGTGCCGAGTCTACTTACTCAAGTTTAATCCCCAGAACTCACATGGTGGGAGGAGAAAACTGACTCTTAAAGCTTGTCCCCTGACTTTCACAAGAGTGCCATGTCACACACATGCACACAAATAAATGTTTAGAAGTATAAAAAAAGGAAACAAGCTAACATCCCTCATATAAAATTATATCAAAATAATATCAAATTAAACTCAACAATTTTTATAAATACTTCATTACCATAAAAGATTTATCCTAAAAATATAAGCCTGATCCAACATTTAGAAATCAGTACCAAAAAGTAAATCTGGTTCTTGACTTGTCCCATCACATGTTGGAATTAGAAAACATCAACACTAAAAGTTTAGGTATGGTTTGAACTAAATATGTATTCCTTTAACATAATAGTAAAGTCAAAAGTTCCTAACTCAAATCACTGTAAAATCAAGAACCATCTACACATGATAGATTTATTAGATAAACCTCTCCCAGAAATCTACAATTCAATTTCGATTCATGGTTCGATTGCTCTAGTTGGGATACACAGAAAACAACAAAGAGAATAAGAAAACCTGTAAAAACTGGTCTGAACCAGACCCAGGTGCTTAAAAGATACAGAGTCTTCCGACATAAGGACACATGGTAGAGATGTCAATCATGTGATAGAGCCATAATACAGTTGAATATCTAAGAGAGAACCAGTCACATGCAGGCAGATACCAACAGAATACAACTCTTCATGTTAGCAGGTCTCTGGGACAAGGTAGCTGCTTCCCATTTAGGGTGGTGGACTCTTAAATTCAAAAGGTCCTGGGCAGGACTTGTCAGGGACACTACAGGACATCTTCTTCCTTAAATGGCGTGGACCTGATGGCACTGGAAGTTCTAAAGGCTAAGAAAGAGCAGGAAAAGAAAATTCCAGTTGGCTTAATTAATGTTTGCTAAATGGCAAGTAAGGGGATGTGAAATTAATTTACATTTAAAACCATGATGCTATCTTTCCACTAGTAATCTAGCAGGGATGCGTACGTATTTCTAAGATGTATCACATACAAACATTTCTGTAAATCTCTCTCCTGCCATTTACTCAAAAGAAGCTAAATAATAGCTTAGCTCTTCCTGCCTCATATCTTCAACCATTTCTTTTCTGTCCCCCTTCCCCCACTCTCTCTGCCTCCTGGTTGGGCTCTTAAAGACCCACAATTAGACCTGCTGCTCTGTCCACCCCATTTCTCACCTCTCTCTCTACTCACGCGCCTTCAGTGAGTCAGCGCCACCTCCTGCCACAGTTTCCTTTCCACCCACACACTCCTTTGTTAACCTCCTCACTCCTGTTGTTATATACCACCTAGTATGCTAGAATGCTACAGGTCTAGGCTCAGCCTAGATACATCCGGGAGGGCCTTGGTCCTGCCTCAACGTGATGTAACAGACTTTGCGGACTCCCCATGGGAGGCCTCACCCTCTCTGAGGAGTAGATGTGGGGGGAAGATAGGGGAAAGGTGGGGAGAAACGTGGAACTGGGATCGGCATGTAAAATAAAAAATAAGATTGTTTTAAAAAAGAACAAATAGAATAGAATAGAATAGAGTAGAGTAGAGTAGAGTAGAGTAGAACAGAACAGAAGAACAGAAGAACAGAACAGAACAGAACAGAACAGAAGAACAGAACAGAACAGAACAGAAGAACAGAACAGAACAGAACAGAACAGAACAGAACAGAAGAACAGAACAGAACAGAAGAACAGAACAGAACAGAACAGAAGAACAGAACAGAAGAACAGAACAGAAGAACAGAACAGAACAGAACAGAACAGAACAGAACAGAAGAACAGAAGAACAGAACAGAACAGAACAGAATAGAAGAACAGAAGAGAACAGAACAGAACAGAATGCTACGGGTCAGGGAGACTGAAGCATCATGGGGAGGATATAACACTGCTTCTCGAAAGCTTCTAAGATAGAAATCAGTTAAGTCATTGGGTTTAGCTAGTTTTCTGTTGCTGTGGAAAAAATGTCCTGATCAAAAGCAAACTTGGGGAGAAGTTTATCTTAGCTTACAATTCCAGATTACAGACCATTTTGGGAAAGTCAAGGCAGGAACTCAGGCAACTAGTCACATCACTTCCACAGTTAAGAACAAAAGAAAAGCACCCATGCTGTCTGCTTGCTGTCTCGCAAGACTCCTGTACAGTGTAGGACTCAGCCTTGGGAATGGTGCTGCCCACAATGGGCTGGGTCAGTAAATAACCAAAACAATTTCTCAAAGGCATGACTACGAAGCAACCTGATCTAGTTAATTGCTCAGCTGAGACTCTTTTCTAGTGATTCTAGGTTGTATCAAGAGTTAAAACATGTAGCTAATCTAAATATTGATCAGGGAATGACAAGAGACCTTAAATTTTTGGAACCTTCTGGTACAAGGTTATGATAGATTGTTTCCTGTGACATCAGCAGCAGTTCTTCCATATTCACACACCCCTGTTATAGCTACTCCAACTCTATCACAAATCACAATAATAGACCATATTCACCCGTGAACAAATTATATACGTTTTATTTATAATATATATAATACTTCACTATATATTCTTCACAAGATGAAGCTAAAACACACAAAGACATTTAAAAGAAATGACTGTGAAAATATGTAGGGCAAAAACTAACCATCAAAGAGCTAAGTTAATATTAGATAAAATAGGCTTTAATAAGTAGTTAATCAGGAAAGAGATTATTATTATCTCTACATAATAAGCCAACTGAGATAAAAATCTAAACTGGCATTGATTTTAGGAACAGTATGTCAGCAACTGTAGTCCCCAAACAATAGCTCAGAATCAGCCTAATTCTGCTCAGTTTAACTCAGTCTCACAATTATTTAGGTGAAAACACAAATTTCTTACGATGGGCAGAAAAGCTTGATCTCACACACATTTATAGAACCTGTGTTTGATGATTAAAATATATACACTATTATTTTAAAACAGGAAGTGTTTTCAAAGGTAAGGCCGCAAAGGCAACACTGAAAGTCTCAACAAATTTTAAAGCATCGAGCAATTCAACTGGCCTGTTGGTTTCCTGCACCAGTATTTCACCTCCCAGCTTCCCTACTCAATGTCCTCTTCCCCCACTTGACCTTCTCTGTGGACACTGTATATGCTCATTCATGCTCTCAGTACATTTTGATTAAATATCTAAATGCCAGTCACTGTGGTAAGCACTG